TATGTGTCTCCAATTTCCTTTGGGTATGGGCAAATGATATGCCTAGCGCCGTGCCTGGCACACAGTAGAAGTCCAATAAATATTTGTTGAATGAATAAATAACTAAGTGGAATGTTATAATCCCTACTATTATTTTGTCTTGGCGTGAAACGTGCAGGAATAGACTTGAGGCAATCAAGTAATTCCCCGAAACAGTACAAGCTAATTATGGAGGAGGTGAAGATCTGGTGCATCGTATTTATTTGTCAGGCTCCATTTGCTCCCGATTAAAGGTGGAAAAGTTGTTTGTAGCATTGAAGGGATAATTATGGCGACCCACTCCTAGACAACTTTTCTATTTTCCATGCCGTATTTTCAGGGAAAATATATCAAGATGAAATGAATGTGCATTCTTCTTGTTTATTATGTTCTCTTTTCTCTGTTACTGCTTTTTAGTGGGCAGGCAGGATGTGGAGGGGGAAGCTCTTTTGATAGTACTTTTACCGTCCAACTGCCTGCACAATTTTCTCTTCTGTAGCTGACTACTAACCCTGGTTAAGTAATAAAATCATCCTCCCATACAGATATCACCTGCAGTGACCCAAGATGAAAATGCTTCATCCTCAGCATAAGCCTCAGAAAGCCTTCATCAATTCATCCATTCATTCCACAAATATGAATTCAGTGTCTCATCTGTACCAATCACTGTGCTAAGGCTGTGACCTTAGCAGTAAACAAAATTCAACATGGTTCCTGCTCCCATAAAGTTTATAATTTGTGGTAATTGACTGATATTAAACCCTAATCTTACTAAAAATCATGTAACTACAAACTGAACCATAAAAAATGGACTACGGTCTTACTGGGACTATATAACAATAGGAATTGATTTCGACCAGGGGACCAAGGAGAATTTTACTGAGGAGGGGCCTGGAGAACAGAGAACTATAGAGTATCTGAAGAAAGGGAAGGAGGGTTCTAGGCAAGAGGAGTAACAAAGGCTCCGTGTCTGGAGGAAGCTTGGTGCTCTCCATGGACTTTAAAAAGCACATCAGTGTGGCCTGCAAGGGAGGAGTAAGGGGCTGACAGGAAGGCAAGGCCACGCCCCTACAAGGCGTACCGATAGGCCACATTAAAGGCTTTGACCTTCATCCCCTGAACATTAGAAAGACATTGAAGGTTTTTGTTTTAATTAGTAGACTTTTTTTTTTTTTTTTTAGAGAAGCTTTAGATTTACAGAAAACTGAGCAGATAGCACAGAGAGTTCCCATATGCCGCCTCTCTATATTGAAGGGTTTTACTCAAGGCTGAGGAAGTGGGAGCAGGGAGAAGGGCTATGTTGACCTTATCAGATGCGTGTTTTGGAAGAAAAAGTAAATACCAGTTCTTACTGCATGCAGCCAGCAGTTGAGCTTCCTGGCAATTCTCACCATCCACTCTCCCCTCCACCAAGTTGCAGAAAGGATGTATCTGAATCTCCAGGTGTGTGCTGAATAACACACACCACACACATAACTACTGCTGGTCCGTGCAGCGACAACATCTCCTCTTGTCAACTTTTCTAGTCTCTTCCCTATCTTTCTGCCTTTCCTTTTGATAAAGAGGATATGACATAGTATTCATTCCTGTTTGTTGCCAAGTGTGAATGGCACGCCTTCCTAAATCTTCTCTTCAGTTTGTGTAGGATAGTGGTTCAGGAAACGTGCTCTGGAGGCAGAGTGCCTGCCCTCAGATCCTGCCTCCACCCCTCACCTGCTCTGTGAGCTTAGACAAGTGACTCCCTTTTAGCCTCATAAGGCTGGTCTGAAGATTATGTAAGTTAAGACTTGTTAAGACATACAGGACTGGAGCATAGAGAGTGCTCCATAAATGCTAGCTATTATTATATAAAAAGGTGTCTAAGGTACGTTGTTAAAGCAAAAAAAAAAAAAAAAAAGATACAAAACTATATATCAGAAAAAGTACTTGTACAAATGTATTCTTATAAATGCTTAGGGGATGTCTGAGGATATATAGCAACTCTTCATGGTGGTTACATCTGAGGAATGGGACTGGGGCTTAGAGGGAGAGGGGTAGATAGGTAGCTTTTCCTTTTTCACCTAATATTCTTATAGAAATTGAATTTTTTTTTTTTTTACCATGCAGCTATATTACTTTTATTATAATGAAATTCCAAAGATTAGTTTAGAAAGTCCAGCAATACCATACAATATGCTGATTTAAAAAATCATAATGATTTCAATATAATCTTGTTTCATAGCTTCCCCCACCCCCTTAACTTTGGAGGTATCATCTAAAAACTTTTCTTGGGGTAAAGAAACACATATCTAAAGTCCAGAAATCCATTCAATTTTCACTTCTTCTGTTGTATTCAAATAAAGGTTCTTGTAAATTGCATGATGCCACTGTTATAAAATTATTGCATTTGTCCTCCCATCTCTATATCCGCATGTATAGGGTTGTCTGGAATGCTGTTCTCCCACCAAGTATAAACAATGCATTTGGCTCATTTGTTGCTGTCTTCTTTGTGGTTTTAAGCATTGCTTAAATGTTTTATAGTGAGCATTTTTATAAGAACAATAGTCATTTCTAAAACTGGAGATGAGTATAAGCTCACTTTTCTGTTTAGTAGTAAGCACACTACCCATCATCTAATCTTTCCCAGGGATTCAGGAAGCTTTCCTTCAGGATTATCACTCTGAAGATCAGTAGCTGCTGAGTAGTAGCTATTGCTCATGAAAGAGGAGGCAAGTGGGCTAAGTGGTTACTGAATCAGGATGTAGAGAATGGTTTAAATGATTACGTAATAGTAACATACAGTCTGTCGTTCCCCATCCATCCCCTCCTTTTTTTTTTTTTTTTAACAAGTGGGGGCTCTTTGTGTTTAACTAAAGGCTTTGATTAATTGAATTGGTATTTATCAATGTTTTACTCTAACCAGCTGAGAATCATTAATATTGCACAGGGCTAGAGCATTGTCACTTTGATCATGATTTAAATACAACCCCTCTTTTTCCTTGTCATTATACACCGCTCTCATTGATCAGATAGGAACACAAATCAGGAGAGAACTTTGAGTCCCATGGTAAATACTTCATGAAGCCAACGTGAGCTTGCCAAGTAGACTATCATCTCTGGGTAATACACATTTTCAAGGCATAACTATATTACACAGTACTTAGCACATTGTGCCCCTCAGGATACAATGATAATTGTCTGTGTAGAAGAAAATACAGTTTTAAAGAAACTGGGACTAAGCTGATTACCAGATGATTCTTTAGATCAGGGTCAGCAAACTTTAGCCTGTGGGCCAAATCTGGGCCTAATTTTGTACAACCCATGAGCTAAGAATGTGTTTTATATTTTTTTACACGGCTAGTTGAAAAAGAATCCAAAGTAAAATAATATTTCATGACATGTGAAAAGTATATGAAGTTCAAATTTTATGTCCCTAAATAAAGTTGGGGAGTCCTTGGGTGGTGCAAATGGTTAACTCACTTGGCTGCTAACCAAAAGGTTGGAGGCTCGAGTTTACCCAGGTTGCCTCAGAAGAAAGACCTGGTGATCTATTTCCAACACATCAGCCATTGAAAACTCTATGGAGCACAGTTCTACTCTGACACACATGGTGTTGCCATGAATCGGAATCGGCTCCATAGCAACTGTTTTTTAAATAAATTCGTATTGGAACATGGCATGCTTATTCGTTTACATACTGTCTACAGCTGCTTTGACTCTACAGTGGCAGAGCTGAGTAGCTGTGACAGACACCATACAACACTCAATAATTAAATATATTTACTACCTCTCTCTTAACAGAAAAATTTGCCAATCCCTGCTTTAGAGTCAAATAGAAGTTACTGTGAAAACTGTGAGAGCTGGAACTCGACGGGAATGCCTTGTTTTTCCGGGTCTCCCAAATTTTCCACCTTTAACAGGGTGCAGTCTTACCACTTTTCTATCACTCGTTTTTGTGGGAAATATTTGAATTTTTCCTCTCTGACAGGCTTCCACCTTACACAGCTTCTGGCTTTCGCAAGTTTCACTGTATTTGTTCGCACGTTTGCTTGTTTGCTAATGGATAATGCTTTGGTGTTAGCGATATATTCGGGCTATTGACGTGACCCATCCACCAGAGAAGGTGAAGAAGAGCAATACTCCATACTTTTCTACTTTACTCACTTTCATTACAAAATCAGAAGGAAGTTACTGTGAGAGAAATATCAGATAATCAGGAAGACCTCGAGAAATATCATGGTAACCAATGGAAAGGGCCTCCAAAAGTTGTGGCTCATGAATTCTACTTTGAAACTTTCCAATAATATTAGTACTCTTCCTACATCCTAAAATTTGAGGTCACATCTTTTTTGTGTCTGAGAAATCTTTTGAGAGGCAAATCTTTGTTTTAATTAAAGAAGTTTTTTGTACTGTGCCAGATATCTATGTAACATAACGTTTGCCATTTCAACTATCTTCACATGTACAATTCAGTGATATTAATTATGTCCATCATGTTGTTCAACCAGTTTTTTTCCATCACCCTTAATAGAAGCTCTGTGTCCCCTAAGCATGGAGTGAGAGGCAAAATCTTTTATTCCTGAGACCGTTACAAAACACAGTGCTCTATCAGATGGGGGTCTGGTATAGCCTTTTGTTCAATGGTATTATCATATTAAATGGTTCTATTTGGTTTATACTTACATTCGGCTGTAAATATGATATGATGAACAATTGGACAATAGGAATTACCTCTTAGTAGAATATCTAAATTTTGATAGCATATGCTGCTCATTAGCTGTGACAGTTGACTTACAATTTATGGTTGACAGTTACCCTCCTCCCCTCCACAGTATATAAGAAAATATGAAATTAACACAAAAGCATCCTTCTCTCCATAAAAAAATGCTAACAACAATACCATAAAATATTATAGTATTGGAACTAGGAGTCATTTTGATTCAAAACGCCTACCGTGTCCATGACTGACCTCAGTGGTTCCCTCTTGTTTTGTTCTGTTTCAGAGGTTGAAGGCCGCGTTGACTCACCACCCTGCTGCCATGTCAAATGGGAATATGAACACCATGGGACACATGATGGAAATGATGGGCTCCCGGCAGGACCAGACGCCACACCATCACATGCACTCGCACCCGCATCAGCACCAGACACTGCCACCTCATCACCCCTACCCGCACCAGCACCAGCACCCAGCACACCATCCTCATCCTCAACCCCACCACCAGCAGAACCACCCGCATCATCACTCCCATTCCCACCTTCATGCACACCCAGCGCATCACCAGACCTCGCCACACCCACCCCTGCACACCGGCAACCAAGCACAGGTAGACCCTTTTAATGATCTCTTTCCCCCTTCTGGTCAACAGTGCAGGCTATAAAGCTGGGGTCATTCGCATCAACCTTGTTTGACAAGCCCTGGTGTTCTATCTGGTGCTCTGGGGAGCTCTGTTCATTTCCTAGGAGGTAATGGTTACTGTAACACCCTACAAGATAGTAACTTCTGTAATGAATACGTTAAATGTCAGGCCCAGTCTCTACAGGCAAATGTGAACTTCAAGTTCCCCAAAATCTGTTTTTGCATTGTGTTACAAAGTTAGCCCTAAAAGAGGAATATCAATGGGAGGATCAGAAAGAATTTAAGCTTGCGAAGAAAGATGTGAATAAAGAATGAGAAAAATAAGTAATTCTAACCCTGGTTCTAGCTGCTGTGCTTTATAACATCATAGAGACTCAATTTTGTCACCTGTAAAATGGAATTTGAATACAATGGGCAATCTTCTGAGAAACAGTAAATGTTAAAAATCTAAAGAGTAACAATTCAAGGCAGACAAAAAGGCTTGTAATGGATGTTAGGGCAAAAGGCGCTGTGTAAATGGTGCAGAGAGGTGACTCATTCCAACCAATGTGAAATGCGTTGGAAGGAACAGAGAGAGCCAAGCTCTGTAGATGATCAGTTCAAGAGAAAGCCAAATCCCAGCGTGGAGAGTCACCAGTAGTGGCCAGAAAGAAAGCCACCATTTAGACTAAACTGAAAGAGGGTTGGGGGACCAGGCAGACGTTATGTCACCCAGCCCATGTACCCAAGTGGGTTTTAGTAAGCAGATGAAGGACATGGCTGGGAGCATGGCTAGCCCCAGACACTTTGGATCCTCAAACAGGATGACCTTCCTCGGCCCCTCCGCCCATTCTACACCGCCCATTTCCAACCAGAGGGGTCAGAATGGAGTCGGAAGCCTGGAGCCGCCAAATAACACTTATTCACCATCTCTATCCTCTGCCTCTGGAGACAAGACTTCACAACCAGGCAGCTTTTGAGTTCATTAACTCCCCTCCCCGAACACACGCACCAAACCTGCACAGCCATCCACAAATTGGGCCATCCGCAAGCAACTTAATCATTTGAAATAAGCTTACTTTTGCAAAGATCCTTGTATCCAATGAATAAGAAAAAGAAAACTACAAGGTCAAAGATATGCAAATAGAGTCAAATGTGTGTTTATTTTTAAGGAAAAAGGGAGCATCAAGTTATGGTTGCCTTTGTGGGCAAGCTGTTTCACAGACAAGTTTAACAGTTTTTTGAATATAAAAGCCATTCATTAGCTAATTACCAATTAGCTAATTGCCCTCTGTTTCAAGGCAGTAAGTGGTCAATTGTATATGCAATTAGTTAATTGCTATTATAACTAGCTGCATGAACAGTTTCTTTTTTATTTCTATATTAAAAAGTCCACGTTGGTCTTATTAAAGTTTGGCCAGAATCATTTACACAGTATTCTAAAATATCACCCTTAAATTGTTCTAAATTGGCTGATGACTGAGATCTTGTTATGTTGCTTAATTGTATTATTATTAGAACAGTGAGAATAGAGGTTTCTTCACATCTTTCTAACTCTGAGGCTCTAAGGTTATTTAGAATAAACGTTGTCTTTTTGAATTCACAACTCATTATTTCTGATCAAAACTTTCAGAGCGTCTCTGTCAACAGAATTCCATTTTAAAAATCAAAGTGATCAGTAACAACATTTACTGGGGGCACAAATTCGGGCCTTATGGTTACATCTGCAATTTCTCTTGGCTATTTGTGATCCTCTTACATGTAAGGATGAGATTTCAAAGTCCTGGTGTCAGTTCATGACTAACAGGGATTTTTTTTCTTCACCAATCCATACATTATACCCTGAACTTGAACTGAAACTGAAATCTCCACATTGCTTCTCCTTTTGGATGAAGGCATAGGAGAAGTGTCAGCGGATAAAGGTTGGTGAAGTTAGGGTCAAAGGATAGAGCATTGAAAGAGAGGTCCTTGCAAGGGAGATTAAAACCCAGTTTTGCCTACTTGAATCTGGTCTAGAGCTGGCAATAAGAGATCACTGTTTCACAGAAAGAAATTGTAAAGACAAAAATAGCAGAGCAGTTAGTCCATTCCTTCCTAATGCTTTGCTTTGGGAGTAGTTAGCTCAGAGGTTAGCATCTGCAATGACAAGTGCTAAATCTTTGCCAATAGCAAGGATTACGTCTTCACCAGCCACTCTGGTGAATAAGACCTTAGACAATTAATTTATTTTGTTATTCCTCTGTGATTGGGAGGATGGAAACAGCCAATGCACTGTTTTAGAAAATGTCTTTGCTTTAAATAAAATTACGGAGATGCAGTTCAACCTCAATCCTGGTCTAATTCTTTTACAGTTAGTCACATAAGATTTGATGGAGTTTAGGATTAAAATATATCATCACCAGTCAGCTGATGTCAGCCAGTAGCCATTATTAGTGCAATTACAGTCATTCTGATTGATTTCAACCATAGGGCTGGAATGTGGTAGAAAAGGTCGTTGGGCTTCAGTTTTAAAACTTTTTGCCTGTTATTTCTGCAGGTTAAATGTCTCTTGTAAAACAGCTTTATAGACATTACATCTATAAACCTGAGTGACTGAGAAATGGGAAAGGAAAAAAAAAGACCCCCTTTATTGAGAATGAATAAGGGGGAAGAAATGAAGTGCGTTAGGGAAAGCCTTAGGTGTCCAGACATATAAAGAGTCAGTCGTAGAAATTTCACAAGGTGCTGTGTGTGTCTGACTCGTGGAGGGAAATAAAGATATATATGTGGGGGTATCTAAAACCTTAGATGTCGCTGAGCCCCATGCAGACCTTACAAGGAATCTGTAAGCATAGTAAAAATTTTTAATAAAGTGCTTTGCCACTCCTAGGATTTCCTTATAATGGAGGTATATGGAGATGCACACCCATCTCTCACTCTTTCACACACAAAGTGTGTAACAGGGCTTGTTGCTGCTTCGGGTATTGATTGCATAATTCCCAGGGCCCTGTTTCCAATCACCTCTGGGCTCCAGAAGGGCTCCTATAACTTCCTGTCTAAGTTAACACTCTGAGAAGCAGGCTGATCTGACTGGAGTTTGCAAGTCTAGGTAGTCTTCCACATTAAGAACTGTGAAACAGTGAACACAGGATTTCAGCTGCTTCCCAGACTTCACAGGTTGTTTTGATTGGCGTCGCAGGGGTGATGACGTCCCAAACCAAAAACCAAACCAAACCCAATGCCGTCGAGTCGATTCCGACTCATAGCGACCTGATAGGACAGAATAGAACTGCCCCGTAGGGTTTCCAAGAAGTGCCTGGTGGATTCGGACTGCCGACCTTTTGGTTAGCAGCCGAGCTCTTAACTACTACGCCACCAGAGTTTCCAACGGTGTCCCAGATGAGTGTTTTAGGAACATGGTTTTAACACTGTTTTAACACTGTTAGCGTTAAAGAAGCCCACTGACGTGCCCAGAAGGCGTTTTCTCCAGCTGACAGATCATCATCGATATTGTGACAATAACCCCTGTACATGGGCTGCTTTAAAGTGTTCAAATGCACTATAAAGGAAACATTTTTAACATCTGAAGGAGGAAAAAAGTGTTTCCTCTGCCATGATTAGGTCAAATGCCTGTCAAGGAACAATCTAAGTGGTATCTGGCTAAATCTTTTCACAGGTCGCTGCTACGTCTTGCCACAATGTCACAGATTATAGCTAAAAAAAAAAAAATAAAAGCCTCGCTGCCATCAAGTTGATTCCAACTCATAGCGACCTGGTATGAGAATATAGCTCAGTGACGCTTTCTTTTTTTTTTTTTAAATAAGAGTGATTTACTTCATTCTTAGGAAACAAGTTTGACATGCTTACTAAAGCAGTTGACTCTGTGTGTTTTGCATTTTAACACTAGCTTGGGTTTCTTCCCTTACCCAACATCTCCCTTCCCTATTCCCTTCCCCCCCACCGCCCCTCCCCCAATGGTCCCAGCAGGTATCACCAGCAACACAGCAGATGCAGCCAACCCAGACGATACAGCCGCCCCAGCCCACAGGGGGGCGCCGGCGGAGGGTGGTGGATGAGGATCCCGACGAGAGGCGGCGGAAATTTCTGGAACGGAACCGAGCAGCTGCCACCCGCTGCCGACAGAAGAGGAAGGTCTGGGTGATGTCACTGGAAAAGAAAGCAGAAGAACTCACTCAGACAAACATGCAGCTTCAGGTGCAGGCCACTGTCTCTCTCCTCTGACTCAAAGGCCCTGTGTATACTTGGCATTTCCTTTCCCCTCAGGCACTTGTTGGCCTCCGAAGTAGTAGGACACATTAGCCCACAGAGGAACTGCAGGCTACTCCTCATGCTTTATTAATTTTGGGACACTCTACAAAACAAAAACAAACCATTCCATTTTAAATCAATCATCCTACAAGGCTCTGAAAAGGGGAAGGCCTAGTCAACTAAGTTGCAGGGCCGAGAGCACAAGCTTTGGTTCAAACCCTAGTTGGGCAATTATGCTGTGTTTAACCTCTCCAACTCTCAGTTTCCTCATCCATAAAATGGGAATAATAACCTCATAGAGTTGTTGGGAGGAATAAATGAACTGCTGTCTACAAAGCAGTTAGCACACTGCCTGGTACATCATAAATCTTCAACTGAAGGGCAGTTATTTATATTCACTGGGTGAGGAGGTTGCTTTGGCTTATACTAGATTATCTTTTTGTTTCATGGAGAGAAAGGAAGGTTTATGATGATTAGTTTGCTCTGAAAGAAAAGGCATGTTTATCAGTTCTACTCAACACGGTTTCAATTTCCCATGACTTTTGCTTTGCATCAGTGGCTCACTGAGGACATTTTGTAATAAGGCCACTTTGGAGTATTTGAGAGAAGGGGAGGAAGGTCCAGCACCTAGGAATTCGCCAGCAGACTTCATACCATATAAATGATGCAGTTCATGGCTCTTGATCTAATACAAAAAGGAATGTACTCTTCACCAGCAGGAAGAAGGGAACTAAATAGATATATGACAAAACCGCCAGGGGATAGCAGCCCAGTGCTTCCAGGAGCTGAGAGAATGGCAAAAGGAAGTGAAAGGAAAGGGGAGAAAGATTGCCCACAATAGGGAGAATCTGCATATTTATAGTTCGTAGGTCATCTTCATCCTTTCCCTCACCTGGTGTTCTGTGCATCCTTAAAAAGGAACTTTTAGAGTGCCCTACCCTCAAAACCTTTGCATATTCAATTCCATTAAATAGAAAAGGCCTTGAGGTGCCCAGTGTGCAAACTGAAAGTACACAAGGAAAGTTTGGGTTATACATGGGCTGAGGCCCATAATTTATGGATGTTCTCTTTTTTCCTTAAATGTATCATTCTTTTTGTGATAGACATGAGAAAGTAATCTGGGAAACATATAGCAGATATGGGGAAAAATAAGATAATGATTCCTCCCGCTAGCTTGTATGCTACGTCAAGGCAGGGACTGTGTCTTAATGCCCCTACACTGCCCCCCCACCACCATCTATCTCCTGTATCTAGCATACTGGCTGACATGGTGAGTCCCTGAGTGCCTACACCCAGTAACCATTTGTTGAATAAATGAATGAGTTCCCCATTACCAGAGAGCCCGAGAGCTGGCTGCCTGACCACTTGGCAAGGATATGATTGAAGGGAGTCAAGCCACAGAGGGATAGCTGGGATCAAAAACCTTTAAACCCACGCCAACCTGAAAGCTGGTAATTCTAGAATCTGGCATGCACAGTAGTATGTGAGAAATTTTTAGGCAGAATGTGAATAAGCATTTTTAATGTTAATAGCTATGTATATATATGTATATATTTTTGGATGTGTGTTGAAAAAGCTAATGAGAACATCAAACCCGCAATTTCACAGATATTATTGGTAAGGGCAAGGCTAAACCATTAAAAAATTGAGTTAGTTTGAACAAACATGTTAAGTAAATAAAAGTTCTTGTGTATGTGGATCTGGCAAATATGACAGTGGTGGTTCTACAATGACTGAAGCTTGGGAATCCCTGGAATTTGCTACCACTTTTCAGGAATAGGCTGCAGGAAGACCTTTGAACTTTGCATAACTTTTGCTTTACATGAGTGGTTCACTGAGGATATTTTATAACAAGGCCACTTTGGGAGTATGTGAGAGAAGGGGAGGAAACAAGGTGTGCAGGTCTAGCCTTCGATCAGGGTTTCTCAATCTTGGCACTATTGACTTTTGTTGTTGTTGTTGGGTGCCGTCAAGTCAATTTTCTACTCAGAGCAACCCCATGGGACAGAGTAGAACTGCCTCATAGGGTTTCCTAGGCTGTAATCTTTATGGGAGCAGATCACCAGGTCTTTCTACTGTAAAACCATCGGGTGGGTTCAATCACCAACCCTTGGGTTAGCAGCCAAGCACTTAACCATTGTGCCACCAGGGCTCCTTAGGCCCGGTAATTCTCTGTTGTGGGAGGCTGTCTTGTGAATCGTAGTATGTTTAGCAACATCCCTGGTACCTGCATACTAGATGCAAGCAGCAAGCCCCCTGCCCAATGGTGACAACCAAAAAGACATGGCCACATGTCCCCTGGGGGGCAAAACCGTGCTCAGTGGAGAACCACTGCCTTAGATGAAAGAACCATGAATAGCTGGCTGACATATATCAAGCCAAGTGCCAAAAAGTTTTCAAAATCAATGTTAACTAACATGTGTCCTCACAGAATTACTCCAGGGTGATCATGATGGTCCTAGAGCGTGAAAACATAGAGGAGTCTTAGCAGAAAGCCAGGAAAAGTAAAGATGCCGGTTTACATTGAGGGCAGACACATTCATGACTTGCAAGTGTGTATTTACCATTGCTTTCACAAAGCACATAAAGCAGATTTACCCTTGATTAAACCCTAACCCATTAATTTTCACATATGTAGAGCCAAGATGGCTAAGGAAAGGAGATACTAGAACTCTTAGCCCCCGAAAAGTAGGAAAAAAAAAACTCCTTCTGAGTTCTTTCAGCAGGCACCTATTGGTTGTTAAAGCAGTACGCTATCAAGGGCCAGTCTCTGAAAAAGTCTAAATTGTTGATGTTTTCCGACCACTGCTTTGCTTCAGAGAGACAGAAACCACAACTGTTCACTGTTCCCTGTGATGTTGTTGAGCCTTCTGCCTCATGCCCCATGATGCTGGATAGTATACTACAGTTTCGGCTACCTTTGAATGACCCTTTCCCTCTCACTAGACCTTTGTAAAAAGAAAAAGGTGTCTCTCTTAAGGCTGCTGCAGTGAGCCAAGTTTTAAGTAAACAGAAATGGAAGGTGCTAAGCAAACAAACTCGAGCCAAACGGAACATCCAGGGTCTGGATGGCCAGCTGCCACTTTTGAGTTGTTTTCCAGCACAGAACCTTCTAGTTAGGTTGCAGAGTTTCAGATTGGAAAAACCAAACCTAAGAAAATAAAATCATACCCGCAGACTTCATTTCCTAGTCTCACAGCAAAGGTCTGCCCAGCAGGTCAACACAGGTTTAGGAATTGGAAGAAGTATTAGAAACCACCAGAGTTGACATTTTATATGGGGAGAAACTGACGTTCAGAAAAATGAGTAATCTTCCCTAAAGTCATGCAATCAGTAATGGCAGAACGAAGACCCAAGCAAGTCTTCTGTTGACCTAATCTACTGCTCTGTGATATTCCGTTTTAGAAAGTTCTTAAACTAAAGGAATGCACATTTTTTTTTTATAACACAGAATGGCTAAAATCAGCCCTAAATTCATCAGCTGCTGATGTGGCGCTAAGTAGATCATATGCGTTCAATAGATGATATGGAAATCATCTGGTCGCCCATGGAAATAATTGCTTTTCTTTTTTAGTGCAAAGACACATGGTCCAAGTTGCTGCTGAAATTTTAGACACACGAGCCCAGGTTTGGGACTTGGCAAGACAATAGGCCAGATGGGAACTGTTGCTTGACAAATTGAAAGTCCCTTATTTCAGAGTGAACCAAACCTGGCCTCAGCTAATCTACAAAAAAAAAAAAAGCTATATTGCAGGGCCCATTTTGATAATTATTTTTTTGGCACAGACTACTGCTTGCACCAAAAAGCATTCTGGTTTTATTTTATAACAAAGTATATCCCCAAAGCCAAAACCTGCAAATGTTGCTATTAAAGACTTCTTCTTTACCGTATGTTATTATAGTATTTGAATGTCTCTATAGGGATGCTACTTCATCCCGAGGCACCCTTTTGGGTTTAAGAATAGATTGATCCAACTGCATCTACCTTCTTAGAGTCCGTATTTAAAAAGCTAACTGCTTTAGAGTAGCAAACCCAAATTAGTTTAGAAAAATGAAAAAATAAAGGGTTGATTTCAGCAGGAGAATCAGTTTTTTTTATTAATACTTACTTTTGCAAGGTACTTCAATGTTAAGACCTAAAACTATTATTATAAGCTACACACAGGGAATAGAAAAATTAATACTTTGCCTCAATTTATAAAACAAGGCAATTCAGAGTAAGAAAATGCCTCCAGAAATCCTGGCTTTTATTTCCCTACTAGAGTTGCAGGTCACATTTGCTTTCTCTTTCGTACATTTTAAAACATTGGCTATCTGATTGCTTTCTTCCCAAATGAATCCAAGGAGATTTCTATTTACATTGCCTTGAAAAGTATTTCTTCTTAAAATATAGCCGGCTGAGTGCTTTTCCCACTTCAATTAGTTTATCAACATGGAATCCTTATGATGATTATGTATGTGCACAATTCACTCTTCTTTCTCTAGGGCAGTGATTCTTGGCCTTTCTTAAGCCAAAGGCCCCGTATGGAACCTGGCAAAGTCTCTATAGACTCCACTCAAAAATACATACACATTCATGGACACAGAAGATTTTGCTCTAAACTGAAACTTTGAAATGTGTTTCAAAGATTGCTTTGAAATCTGTCCCAATAAGATTTGGATGCACAGGAGCTACTAGGACTAGCTCCTTTATGACATATAAGCATATTTGAGAATATCAAAAGTAGTTAATTAATGAATAAAAATCAAGATTGAATCCTTTATCAGTAAGTAGATCATTAGCCTTCTCAATAGAAGGCAACACAGAAACAGTCAGAAAATCAAAGAAACTATCTTGCTGGAAGGAACTTAGAGAACTAGTCCAGCCATCTTGTTTTATACTTATTTAGTGCTGCAATTTGGGAACTCAAACCCTGTTATTCTCAACCCCCAACTGAGAGCTCCTT